CTAGGGATTCTGGATGATATCTACCTACCTGACAATCGGCTACCACCTTTCGGAAGATACTGATAATCGTGTTCACGTTGAAGTTATACATGTGATTGTGTAGGTGAAGATCAGAAAAGACGAAGTACAACGAGCTGGCGAACTCGGCCAACGAAAGGTATGCATTTCTCTGCTGAAAAGAAGTCTGACTGAAACTATGTACATGGTGTATAGGATGCAGCTTGTAATCAAATCAAAGTCTACAGTATGGATGCTGACCAACGTCTTCTGTTACAGTTCTACTATTCGCAAAACAGTAAAGCCATTACGGTAACGTACATCGTTAAGTTCCTTGCGGAGTTTCTCGCTTTCTTCAATACTCTTACTGATCGTTTCAGCGTTTTCCTTAGATTTATTCAACGAATCGAGTAGGACCGTGTTGTCGAGCAGGTTTTCCTCAGAGGACGCAAGTTGCTGAAAATACAGATTTCATTCGGTGAATCATCCAATTTCACTGAACAATACGGAACTTCCTATGCTTTTCTCTTTATCACAAACTCTCCGGGACTCGGAAAAATCAGTTCTGAAAAATCAGCAGTGACAGCTTGTTTCAATTCACTTCTTTGTATCAACTTAACTATTTCAATTCTGGAGTTCTGGAAGTGTGCCCTTCTGACGTGGGTCGCTCCGCCTATATCAACGGGCGACTTAAATATACGCGGGTTAGGACCACAGATCCACGGTATGGACACCGCCGTTGACTTTCACAATTTCGCGCCTCCCCCCCCCCCCTCTTCTGCGGTCTCGTCCTTATCTCATAGTTTTAAGAGAAGCGGCGTCGTGCGTTATGGCAAGAAAAGTGACTTTGCTGCCCACGCCCGACCATTAAACTGACTGCATCTTTAGAAGAGCCTATTTAAGGGAACTGTTTTCCTTTTGATGAAAACAAAATTCTAAGACCTGGCTGCAATAACAATTGGCTCCATATTCTTCCCAGCTCCGATCTTTTTGATTCTCTGCATCCTGGCCCTGCCACTTGAGTCGCTCCTCCAGTTCAGTGTTTTTCGAGTTTGAATGGCAAGACTGAGCAGTGGACTGATTGATTCATAATTCTAGAGATGGAATTTCCACGAAACACGGAATAAAAATGCCTTGAAAACTGAAGATTTCACATGCCTGTGAGGTGAGTCCACTTTTCGTTGTACTAAAATTAACTTCACAAAGGACATTACGAATGCTGCTTGGAATGACGATATGCTGATTTTTCGTGCAAAGAAACAGCTTGAAATCTGGATTGTAATCGATTTGCTTATCAGCAAACGATATCACCTAGAACAAGTGATTAGGTCAATGAAACGGATAGGCACGGCATTTTCCCCTAACTTTATGAACGCGTCATGAACCACTTCCTCAAAAATTATGAGTCACTTTCACTTTGTAGATGACTTTTTCAACGACGTGGGCTTCTTGCCAATGCACAGCCAGTAAAATCAGCTTTTTTATCCTCCCAAATGGGTCATAAATGCAGCTAGGCAGGACAAGCAAGAATTGCTCGAAAAGCATTGCTTGTCCTGCCTGTCCATTGCTCGAAAAGCATTTGCAGGCGGTCCCCGTCTACTTTTATACTGATGTCCACGATTCAGGCGAAGATGAGAGGAACAAGGCAAAAAGGAGGAGCTTGGCCGACTTAGAGATATACTGTTTGATTGTGGGTCCAAATATGAGTTCTTTGATACTGCTTGACTTCCCAGTGAAGACGGCAGTGGACAAGACCGTTGGGAACATCCCAACTAAGGTCTCAGGATTGGACTAGTATTCGAAGAGGTGAGACACTGCTGCGCAGGCGAGAGACCAGAGACAAAGTATTAGAGCTCAGAGAGACGACAGCGCGAAGCGCAGTCGTCAACATTGTTGTTCGCTCATCGTTAAGCTTGTTTCGAAATCGGTCCCCCGAATCCCATCTCTAATGCGCATTGTTGCGGTTGCCTGATCCTAAAGAGCTCCGCTCATTTCTCCAATCGCAGAGTGATATAGTATGTAATTCTAGTTTAATCTTAGGTTTTCAGTTTCCTTGAAGTGTAAAGGAATAGTGAAGCAGGGACGCAACCTCCATTGCATCAATTCCTCTAAGATTTCACAGCGTTTCATGGATCCGAGCGAATTTATTTACAATAAGTGCACATTCCCGAGCGACGGTGATCGTAGAGACCCAAAAGGTTTAGCGCTCTTATCACCGCGGCCTGCGTTCAAAACCCGGTCACCTCCTGCCCAGACCAACAACCTTTCTGCCCTGGGAGACGCGTTGTACCAGGTTCCTCGGATATTAATTAATCTGCTGATTGTACATGAGCTGCATATCAAGCCATTAAATAACCCATATCATGGCATACCGAATTTGCCTTGATAGCATGAGACTAGTTTTAGATTTTACCCCATAGCGCACCAAGAACTTACCCATTAGGATAAAAGCAGTGATTGTGGTACAATTCAGGATGTCCAGGAAACATAGACATTAGCAAGAGCACTACTGCCACTATTATTGGAAAATCACTCGGCCAATTTATGAAACTCTACAATCCAGCTAAGACTGTTTTTCTTTTTTTAATAATTGTGACGTGGTTTTTTTAATAATTGCGTTGACTTAATTCAGACTGCCGTGCCCGTGAGATGATAAACTCCTTCCTGAAGATGAACAAGGGCAGCGTCCATCCGAAACGTCGGTCAACGTATATGCTCTTATCCAATCGAATTCCGAATTCAATCTAAGTAAAAGTTGATCTAAAATTACAAAACAAATCACGTGCTTCAACATCTTAGGAATTTCCAATTCCTTCTTCTTCTTAGAGACACATCATTATTCTCGATCGGTCTGATACACTAGAACCGCTAAAGCATCTTTGGCCCGGTAAGCCTTGCTGACCCCGAGCCGACAAAAATATACGGCGACTAGTCCCTTGCCGAATTTCCCTACAATTTCCGCATTCATGGCGATGGGGTATGTATGCAAGAGACTTTGATTCGTCGCTGTCCAGTGGGCGTCGTGTGCGACGTCTGCCCCCTAATAAAGACGATTACAAGCGTCCGCTATGGTCAAAATGATCAATGTATGACCAAAAGTGACATAGCTGCTACCATGCTCTGTCTTACATGGAAATCCGATGCTCCAATCGAAAGGGTAGTGCAAATTAAGGAAACGTCGCGCCCATTGCCGCGCGCGACGAAGCGGCAATTTACGATTCTCTTGCCCGTCTCCCGCGCGGTGTTTCACGCAGTATATTGCGCGACGTGCTGCGGTACTTGATATAATTGCACATGCCAACCTGTATCATTTATAAAAAGAAATCAGCTCACCTGTGTGAATAAATCATTCTGAGCAGCTCTGAGGAGTTCCGACTTGTCAATGAAAGAATGCAAGAATGCAGCCACCCGTCCAGTCGGATCAATAACCAGCGGTGTTTGGGTGTTGTTGAACATCACTACAGTATTCTCCACCGAAAGCGAATCTCCAGGTAAGCCATGGTTCTTCCAATTCAGCTAAAATATCATGCACCAATCAGTCAGGCATCAGTTCTTTAGGAGAGAATTTAGGAGAGCAATCTCGAATTTTTAGAAATTTTCGGAATCTTCCAGAACTTTCAGGAAAAATCATATTTGCTGATGTTGAATTCCATAATAAACGAGGCTCAGTCCTACATTTGGCTCATTTACAAGCAAAAATAAAGTTCTTAACTTTCATCAGCTGAATTTGTTCAACGAAGAGTGTTCGACAGGAGCAACTGGACTCTGCTTGAGACATATCTCTGCAAACGGTGTCAGTACGAATCCCCCTCCCCAACTGAATGAGGGCCTCGGTACGACCTTCCCCCCAGCACCTACCTACCACTTTCCTACATTTTCCAGTTTCTCATCCAAAAAATTCCCGTCGAGCGGTAGGTGGTGGGGGGGGGGGGGTGGGGGCTAGGTAGTACACATGAAACAGGAAAATCAAGGAGGAATCCTACCGTTATTTTTTTTGAGCGCGGGATTTGTTTTTAAATCATCAGGTATTCGTCGCTGACACGCCCCCTGCCCCTCACCACCTTCGAACGAAGGACAATGGAATAAAGACAACGAAGTGGTCAACTATTTTTACGTAGACTCTAGTTCGCTGCGGACGGTTGGGCGTGTCAGGCAGTATGAGTGTGTCACGCCGTCAAAGCCGTTCTCTGCCTTCTTGTTGAAGCGCGCATGCGACAAAAGTGGTAGAAAACGAGTTCGTACGAAGCGATATGATACACTCGCTTTAACAAGCTGGTGGAGAACGGGTTTGGCACCGCGCCAAACTCATCCTGCCTGACACGCCCAACCGTCCGCAGCGAACTACGCTAAACACGATGACCATATTACACACGGTACTCTGTTGCTTCGAAAACTGTAGTTATTAGCGTAGATATCCGAGGCTAATCGGAGTCTGTTAGTGTAAAACTATCACAATTTGCTCACCTGTTCCGTTTCCATGGCGCAGAACGTAACAGGGCTAAAATCGGGCAAACTGCTGTTCTGCTGGAACGATTTCAGCACTTCCATGCGAGTTTTTTCTGAACATCCACCAAGATATGTAACAAACGCAGCTGTGATGATGGCACATCTTTCCACCTGAAAACCTCAGAATGTAGAAAGTTTTGATGAAACTTCAAGAAACACAAGGTAGTCTCTGAGGGTACGAGGCTTAAAGTTTTCAGAGAACGCCTGGAGTACAACATAGGAAATGTGCGCTCATGGGAGTCCATTCCACGATGACGGGCAGAAGATGGAGTTGGAGCTCCTAACAATGATACCTTGCCGAACCTCCTTTTGGAAGAAGCGAAATGGTATTGACGAGACGCACTAGTGGTAAGTGCTCTACTGTTGACTCTCCCCGCCCACACAATCCATGTGGAATGCGAATCTAAATCAGACCGAAATTTGAACATTTACTGATCCCTGTTGAATTCCGCCCTCTGGTCCTCTTATAGGTCATCAAGCTCTTCATATATCAACCTTCGGCTATGCGGTCGCCCGGATTCTTCTTTCAAAGGTGAATCTTACTAAGTTAGCACTTACATTATCCATTTCCTGTGATAACGACTGCATTTGTATCTGCCATCGTGAGAACTCACCAGCCAGTCGATCGACCAACGTACCAGCCACTTTTATGGTATTCTGTAAACTAGACGGTCTCTACAGATTCCTTGGTATAGATGGAGTGATCAAGGAGACCTGTTCCTTCTCCAAATCGATCTTTATTTGAGGTGGCTTCCTTCAAATGGGGAAAAAAAAAAGACCGCTTCGAATTTTTCCTTCAAAGCAGCCACTTTCTCGTCAACGGTGAGCAGTCCTTTGGAAAGCTTTTCAATTTGTTTCTCAGCTTTCGACAAATTGCTGAAAATAAGGAATTTGCTTGAAATGCTTGAAACATAAGCCCTTCCTCCGAAGTCCTCTCCTCCAATTGAAAAGGCATTTGAGATGAGCCTTACAGTAGTCTATAGAGTCTGACCTGACTAGTTCATTCTTCTCCTGCTCCAACGGTGATATCTTCTCAAGAATCTCGGAATATTGCAAATTTGCCGTCACCCAAGCAGCCAGTGGTGCAGCAGCTACCGAAGCACGCTTTGCATTCTGAAAGGAATATGAGAGGAACGTTCTTTAGAGCAAGCTGGTGCGCGGATATTCGCCGTTTTGGCAAAGGTGGACCTGTGACGTTACCTCGTATCGATGTGCTGTGGGGAAGATTCCGCAGAAGGCGAATCCCGCCCTCCATCCACGCATCTGCCCTTCCAGCATGCCTTCTCTGACAGGGTCTTCTTGCTCTTACTAGTTTACGTATCTATTATTTTTTCTTGATTTGTTTGCCAAGCTTGTCCTCTCCTTTTGTCTTAGGTAGTTGATTCGGGACAGATTAGATTTGTGGAATGCTTCTTGCCGTACACATGTACACATCAAAAAATTAAAGAAATAAATAAAACACATGTGTAATGCAGTCTGACCTTGGGATCGAATGACGCCTCCTTGCTCTTCACTAGGGCTGTAACTCTCTTGTGAACGTCTCTTGTGATCCGATGCGCGTCAAAGTTGATTATTTCGTCTCGTCTTTGACACTGCTTCTTGAGAGGACCTTGAAATAGAATCCCATCTTGCTCATTGTTATTTTGACCTACTGTATTTTCATGGTTCAGCGGCACTCATCTAGCGGTAGATGGCGAGAAGAAGCCAGGGGTTGGAGGGCTTTGACTTTGCCACAATACGCCCATTGTCGTTCATTGTCTAAAAATGATCTATTAGGTTGGCTAATAAGTAATGGCCGTTTTTTTCAATTGAAAAATTTGTTCGAAAAGTGAAACGTTTTGCAAGCAAGTTATATATCATCTGATAGGAAACTTCTCGTAGTATAAGAATATCAAAAAAGCTTTGGTTGAGGATATAGTTTTTGTGAATTTTTTAGTCGTTGAAGTTGGAAGTGAAGTCGGCGAAAATTAGCATCTTCGACAACTGCCTCTATTTACGTCTACTCGAAGTGCTAAAATCGCTTAAGCTGCTCCATACATTCGGAAAAGGTTGAGGTAGAAGTCTCAGCAAGGGAATCTCAATAGGACGCTTGGAACTAATTTCAAGAATTTCAAAGTTGGCAACCTTCACCTTGCCAATATTGGGCAGGCTCACGTCTGTTCCACCTGAAATTTCATGCTAATAGTTGAATTAATTGAATTTGAATTTGATATTCTAATACTACGAGAAGTTTATTAACGATATTAAGCTTGCTTGGCAAAACAATTTTAGGCTCTTGGGACACCATTTTTGTGATTGAAAAAAATGCCATCTACTTATTAGCGCCCACTGCTAGTGGGTCTGGCTTATAAGTAATCGGCCATTTTTTCAATTGACATATTTTGTCAAAGTGAAAGTTTTGGCAAAGCAATTAACAATCGCTTTGAGCAAACTTCTCCGTAGTATTAGAATATCAAATTCAAATATTCATAATTCCTATTAGCATGAAATTTCTAAATAGAGGCAGTTGTCGAAGATGCTAATTTTCGCCGACTTCACTTCCAACTTCAACGACTAAAAAATTCACAAAAACTATCCTCAACCAAAGTTTTTGATATTCTTATACTACGAGAAGTTTCCTATCAGATGATATATAACTTGCTTGCAAAACGTTTCACTTTTCGAACAAATTTTTCAATTGAAAAAAACGGCCATTACTTATTAGCCAACGCTATAAAAACTTTGGCTGGCATCACTTTATGGTGTCACCAGATTTTACAAATCTCTGCTTGATGGCTCGAGGCGACAATGGGAACCGGCGAAAGTGCAAAATACTCCTTCTCCCCCCATTTCGGATGAACTACGCTCTCATTTTCTTCCATGTTCGAACTCGAATTCATACTTCCTCATTGCTTCCCATGATGTATCCAGTACACCCATAAAAAGCAGTACAGCCTGAAGAATATCTCGAATTGCTTCAGGAGGAGCTCGCAGACTTCGGATTTCTGACAACGATTCAGATTTGATTGAACCGACAGCAGATCGTGCCTCCTGAAATTCTTGCCATCAAAAAAATTCAG